CAGTGGTCTCCAACCTTTTTAAGTAGGAGATCACCTTTAGCTTTTACAAGCAACCCAAATCTACCATGCGCCTCCTGCTCCCCCCCCCAACTCAGCAGGTAAGTCTGTGGGGATAAAAGGGGGGGGGGCAGATCAAGGCGGAGCGAGAAAGAATTATTTGGGGGTAAGCCTTCCCAGCAGGTAAGTCCCACCCAGCTGGGCTCCATTCAATTTACCCCTGCTCCTGCCTCTGTGGCACTGTCCCGCACCGTGGGGGCCTCAATCTAGCCCCCGCCCCTTCCCTCCAGCTGGGCTGGAGTGCGTGCATGCACGCATGTGGGCCCTCAGCCCCCAACCCCAGCCTCAGATCAACTCCAAGCAGCTCCAAGATCTACTGGTGGATCAAGAACCACTGGTTGGTGACCACTGCTCTAAGGTTAAGTCTACGTAGCAACTTTTGCTAGCATTGCAATGCCACAGGCAGCTGTGATTTTTTGGGGGGGAACATTTCCTGCCAGCAAAAGCCCTAATGAAGGTGTGGTTTCACCAACACAAAAGTGCTTTTGCCAGTGTGGCTTATTTCACTCGGCAAACTATATATCATAAAAAGATAATATATCCTCCAATATAAGTGGAAAGTTTTTTGTTACTGCCTCTTTTGTGGCATAAATTTTTTATGTAAACCAACAGCATTTCTGCCCATGAGAAAATAGCACATAAAACAATTATTGGTGTAAATTGATGCCATTGATATAGGAAAATACAAACTTGAATTTGGGAGGAAAATTTGTTAATAACTTAAAAGGAACATTGTCAGTCACTTAAACTGCAGACCAAGGCTCTGACTCCATCTCCAGTCAGAGACAAAGGTGGAGAATTCTTGTTATGCCATGACGTGGGACTGAGCATCAAGGATGAAAAATGAAGAGAAAGCAGGAGAAGTTATGCAAAGTACGAGTGTAAGCAAAATTATGGCAAAGAGGAGATGGGAAAACAGCAAAGTTGCTGTAATATTGTAGTACTGGCAGGGCAGGGTTGTGAGATTAGAGGAAGGGGAAAGGGAAATAGATTCTTGTAAAGCTGTAGTGTGGATGAGAGACAAGAAGTACATCTCCACTAGTGACTACAACTCCTGTAGACATAACTGAGTTGGCTTTAAACTAATATATATATCTGTATCAGTCCAAAGCCATTTCCAATTAAATTCCAAATATCCAAGCTCAGTATCCACATCTATCATTACCCGTATCCATCTCTCATCTCAACATCCATATTGATCATTACCCATACCTAATCAAAATGAATATCCACGTCTCAGATTTTCTACTGGGCCAGCATCCTATGTTCAACTCCCAGGCCCACAGGCCTGGGAATCCAGATGCCTCCAATTATGTTTGACCTGATCAGGGGCAGTGGTAGCAGAACAACCACAGCATCAGAGCCCAGTAGCCTAAGTACTTGACCAGTGTCCCAGGTAGATTTTGCAGACATACTGAGCTCCACACTGCAGTGGCCGTGCTGCTGGTAGCACCCAGGCTCAGTAGGTGAAAGCAAACTTGGCTGCGTCCATGCGCAACGTGCTGTAGGTGTAAGGAGCAGAGCAGGAAAGCAGGGGTGCTCCCATAATGTGGGAGTGACCTAGGGAGCAAACACGGGGAGATGGGAATGTAGGGGAGCTTCCGCAGTGGCAGAGTGTTTCCCAAATGGGTACTAATGATCTGAGCAATGACACTGGGTTGTGCGGGTTAGAGCTGGCCTGTCTGGAAAGCGCGTTGCAAAGAGTCTGGTTCTGCAGAGCTGCCAGTAGCACCACGCGCTGGGTGGTAGGAGAGCGAGACCCGAAGAGACGTCGAGGTCAGCCTGCCCCAAGCAGGAGCATCCCTATCTCAGCCATCCGGCACAAACCCGCGGTCTAATCTATCAGCACCCCCGTGCAGCTGGGCCCGACCTTGCCACACGCAAAGCAGGCGCCGGGCGGGAGCTCCCGACCCCTACTGAGCCCCGCTGTCCAGTCCCCGCCGCGCTCCGCCCTCGCGCTCTTCTGGACCCGCTCGGCCACTGTCCCCCACGCCTGCGCAGTAGCTCGGGGAGCCATGGCGGCGCAGGTTGTCCGTGGTGCCCTCTGGCTGCGGGCGGCGGCTCGGTTGCGGGCCCTGGCGGGGCC